GTGTGTGTGTGAGAGTGTGTGTGTGTGTGTTTGTGTGTGTGTGTGTGTGCACGCGCGCGAGTTTTTTTTGGGGGGGCGGGTGTCAGCCGGAGGGGGGGCTGGCACGAGGGTGACTAAGGGCGGGGGGAGGCGCGACTAAGGGTGATTGCTAGGGTGCTCGCAAAAAGAGGTGTTGGAGAAGCGGCCGGGGAGAATGGGTGGCTGGGAGCGACAGGCGCGAGTGAGGTGAGGAGTGGCTGGAGAGGAGTGGCGAGGGGACCGCCGCAGGTGACGCGCAGGGCCGCTCGAGTAACAGCTCCCGGGGCGTCACCCGAGGGGGGGTTGGGGGTGAGGGCCTCAGGTGAACGATGAGGCAGAGGCAGAGCAGGCGCCGCGGGCCCAGCCCCGGCACATACAGGGGTGAGCATGCGCCCCAGATTTCGCCCCAGACCCTAACCTCCAAAACCCTAAACCTCGCCGCCCCCCTCCTGGCCTGACACGCCCAGGCCCCCCAACCGCCGCCCTGCAGCCCAGGTGCACCCCTGCATCCCCACAGCAACTAAACGAGGTGCCGCTATGCGCGCGACAGTACAAGCAAGCGACTGCCGCGATGCATAAATCGGAACCCTCAGCGCCCCTCTCCCGCCGGGCCCCAGATCAGATCTCCAGATCAGATCGCGCACCACCGCGTCCTCGATCTTCCCGAACCGCGAGAAGTGCTCCACAAACTCCTCAGTGCGCAGGTTCCTGGGATAAGGAAGGGAATGGGGCCCATGTAAACAAGCGGTTGGGATGGGGGCGGGGCGACACAAAAGACAGGCCGCGCGCGCAGGGGGGGCGCACGATCGAACCGCGCCGCGTGCGAGCTGCAAGCACTGGCAGGGCTGTTGAAGGCCGCCGTCCCGCCGTCCGGGCGGCGGCGGCGTCCGCGGGCCGCCTGGGGGGTGCGGCTTCCTCAAGGCCGCCGGGCTCGAGCCCGAGGGGGCTGGACCAGACCAGCCCAGACCCGCGCCGCGCTGGGGCGCGCCCGGCAGCGCTCACTTGGTGCCGCCGACAAATAGCTTGCGCGTGAGGCGCGCGTTGCCGCCGAGGTGCTTGGGGACCGCTGCCTTTGCGTCCACGCGCCGGCCGCGGATTACATGGTCTCGTTGCTGCGGGCCACATGTGATGACGTGGCAGGGGCAGGAGCAGGTGGGTGTGCGGTGGGGGTGAGGGGGTCCAGGGGTCTTCTTTGCGGGCGCGCCGCCGCCGCTGGCCCGCTGACGGCTGCATGTGCGCATGCGCGGGGCGTGCTCAGAGCCGGGGCCACTTGCGGGCGCGGCGCGCAGCCAACTGACGCTGCGCGGGGGCCAACCGCCGCGGGCATGAGCAGGCCGGGGCGCGCGCGTGCGCGGCGCGCGTCGGCGGCCCGCCGCCGCGCATATGGGGCGGTGGCCGGCGGCGTTGGGGTGCAGGGTTGCACGCCCTCAGGCGGGGGCGGCTGGGGGGCCGGGACGGCCGCCGGTGCGGTGCGCAGGCGGCCAACCAACTCACCTCCAAAAAGGCCATTGCACACGCCGGGTCCCTGAAAGTCACGAAACCATAGTTTTTGGCGTCCATCACCACCGAATCCGTGACCTCGCCCCTACAAGGATTGATTAATTTGCGCTTAAGGGGCGCACCGGCGCGGGGCGGGAGAGGAGGAGCCGCGGCGAGACCGCACGTCGCGGGCGGCCAAGGCTTTGCACGGCGGCGACGGGCGACTCGCCCAGCTGCCTGGGCCCCCGTTGCTCTTGCTCACCATTGGCAGCAATACTCGTTGATGTCCCGGGTCGTGATGCTCTCGTCGAGACCGCCCAGGAACAGCTTCCCCTGCGCGTGATCCACTGCAGTGACGGGCTGGACGGCAAAGCCCCGCCAGACATCCCAGGCTCTCCCCACGCACCTCTTGAAAACGAACAGTCCGCTCTGGTGGCCCTATCCTGATATCATAGTCGTGAGAGGGCCTCATCCCACCCATAGAGCCTCTGCGTGGCTCCGTCCCTCCTCGTTACGCTGGCTCCTGCACTCGGTCCTGCGCAATGTATATATTCCAGAATAGCTCCTGGTACAATCGATATGACGTGAAACCCAGTCCGCGGTATGATGTGTGCAGCTCCTCTCTAGGTCCTGCAGGGAGGAAGTGGCCACCTTCTCCCTCGCTAGTTGCAAGAGCCGCTGGCAACAGTCCTAAGTGTTAGAAGCAACGACAAAGCGCGCGTGGTTTTAATTAATTGAGTGGTAAAGGAGACGTGAGCCTGGTGGGCATTGCCCCACGGGGCAGGCGCAGGAGCGAGAGGATGTGTGACTGCGCGACTTAGGCTTATCGAGTTACGCTCCGCGAAACGGCGGTGATTGGCACATGTGTACGCGAGATGATATTGACAAGCAGATCCTTTCACTTTCATGCGACGCTTGCCGCGGCCGTCCACAAGGCGTCACCCGATGAGCGCCGCCGGGCAGGTGCAAGGGCTTGCAGCTGCCCGTGGGGAGGCGTTATTGCAGGCCCGGCAGGCCGAGACCGCCTGAACATCCCAGGAGACCCACGGCACGCGGAGACTGGGCGCATGCAGGAGTTGAAGCGGACGCACGGTGCGCAGCCGGCGTGCATGTCGCCCGCGGGTGATCGCCTGCCCGGCGGTCGTCATCGTAAATACAGCCACATCACCCAGAGCCCCGGTACCCTGCAGCCACCGGCCGGGGAAGAATGCATTACCAATTGATACAGCCGAAGCACATGGGCATGCGTCGCACAGAGGCGGCGGCCCTCCGCAGCCCCCCAACCGCTCCCTTCCAACCAGCCCTTGGTCCCTGCGCCCGGCGAGCCGCCCCGTGCACGCATGCACTTGGTCGGGCGCCACAGCACGGGGGGCCCAGTTGGGGCGCCCTAATCCGCACCTGTGCCCGGCCCCGCGTGGCCTGTGCCATGGCTGGGAAAGGCTGACTCAGTGCACGCTTTGCGGCCTTCACAGGCATTGCACGTGAGGGTGCATGCGTGCCCCGGCCTAGCAACCACTCACAACCAGCCCGGCTGTTGGCGAGAAGCTCCTGGCAATATCCTCGTCCCGCTGCCAAAGACGCCGCCCGTGCTCAGGGGCTGCTGTGACGTGCCGACAAGAGTGCCACTCCTGCCACGGCATCAGCACCGGAGGCCCGCAGCCACAGGCTATGAATGAAACGCTGCCCCGGCGCCAGCGCTGGCGCATGCGACTCCGTCCCGGGCCGGGCCGCGCGGGGGGCGGCCTTCGGGCGCAGCTGCTGGGGTCCTGTCCTGTCCGGGCCGGGCCGGCGCGCGCGGGCCCTGGAAGCTGCCGGTTGGTAATGGGGAGTTGATTACTCCAGGGATGACGCCCAGCCACAGCGTACTGCGCTGGTTGTAGCAGTGATCCCTTTGTAACTGGTGATCCCGCTTCTTGACAGGTCATGTAGCTGAGCAGATGGCTGGTAGGGCATGCGAGGGGCCACAAGCAGGCCATGTAAAGTTACCAAGCATGGCCCTCACATCCAGGTAGGAACCCCCTGCTGCACACCCGACTCCTGCTGTGGGCACCCAACCCAACGCCCTGCTCCCCACATCTGCAGCAAACGCAGCCTGCGCCTTCGAGGGCAGCGCCAGCGCGGCCGCGTCCACCAGGCTGCCGACCGCGGCTGATCTCGGGGCCGTGGGGCAACCAGCTACTGCAGCTACTGCAGCAAGTGACCGGCAGCAGGTGGCGCAGACTCATGCACATGCCATGCGGTACAATCTCTCAGAAGAATATGCTCGAGCTGCTGTCTCAGATAATAATTTTATCCATGGTACATACCAGGCAACAGGGGGCGCCTAGCCGCTGACCGCGGTGAGCCTGCTGATCTGGCGGCACCCGCCGCGCTGTACCGACCCTGCCTCAAGCTGCAACAACACACGTCTTGGACTTGCTGTGCGTCATGCAAAAAAGGGGATGCCGAGGCTGAATTTACACCCGGTTTGATGCATGGTGCGTTTTTGTACATGAAATACACACAGCGCCCCCCGCGCCTGTCGCAGCGCCCCGCTGTGTGTGGAGCCATGCCGAACCCACAAAAGCATTAAGGAGTCAACCCCCAACACCTGTTATTGCGCCCCTGGACCCGGCTCCAATGGTTGCGCGGGACGCGCCCGACGAGATGTGAACGACTGCAGCTCCATGCCGTGTCACAGCGTGCAGAAGCTGCTCGCCCCGCGAGCAGCAGTGATGGGTGGCACAAGCAGCCGCTGCCATGGCAAACAGCAATGACAGGTCAGACGTGCGGCCGCCCGCGCCGCGAGCAGCGGCGGCGCGTCAAACGAGCACCGCCTCGCCCCCAAGGTCCCCGTTATCAGCGTCAGCCCCCACGGCCGCGACCAACGTGTGCAGCTCAATCTGCGTCATCGCGCCGCCTTTGACTGGGTCAAACGACACCCGGTGGTACGTCCCCGCCTGCGTCACCACGACTAGGGTGTGCAGCTCCGCCGGGCTGAAGCCGACAATGATGCGGCCCTGGTGCTGCTGCTGCTGCTGCTGCTGCGCGTGCTGCGCCCCGCCCTGCTGCGGCGCCGCGAGGCCGAGGCCGATGCCGCCCGCGGGGTGCTGCTGCTGTGCGGCCGCGAGGTGCGCGGCGGCGGCGCTGGGGGGTGGGACGCGGAACTGAGCAAAAGACCACTCAGAGGAGAGGTACTGGGGTACTGGTATTGGAACATAGCTCTGAAGATGGGGAGACGGGGAAGGGAGACGCTTCGTTGTGAGGGGGATCTTGGGGAAGCGATAGGGGTGCTGTGGGGTGAGCGCCTTGCGCCGATTCCACACGGGATGGGCAACGCGGGTGCTGGTGCCGGCAATCGGCAGGCACGGGTTGCGCACGCTGCAGCTGCGTATCAGCCTAGCGGGCAGTAGCCGCCCTGTTGTCTACTGTGAGCAAGGGCGCGCGCGCCTGCGCCACACACGCCCCGCACCTTGAGCGCACTCACGACCGCAAGGCTCGCGTTCTTCGCCCCCGCCGGCGCGTCCGCGCCGCCGCCCTGCTGCTGCCCGCCGCTGGCGCCGTACGCGCCGCCCAGCGCCCCGCCCTGCCCGCCGCCGCCGTTGTTTGCGCCGTTCTGGCCGGCCGCAGGCGCCTCGCGGCCCGTGGCGACCGCGGAGGAGAGCGCCCAGACGTGCACTGTGTCCTTGTCGCTCGACACCGCCAGCCACTCGCAGTACTTCGAGAGCGCGATCGAGTGGATGGTCGCCGGCTGGCTGCCGCGCCGCAGCTCCTGGGGGAAGCGCAGGCCGGGGGGAAAGCGCAAGCAGGACAGACGGTGTTTTGAGAGGGCGACAAAGGGCGAGCGGCAAGCCTGCCAGCCCGAAACGCCGCAGGGGGCGGCCCCACACCAGCCGGAGTGCATCCCCGCTGCTGCCGCGATGGCCGCGCCTGTCCGTCCGACAGCCCTGCCGCGGCCCCGCCCTCGCTCGCTCATGCAGCCAACACACCCCGTCCTGTGCGCCCCGAGTAACAAGAAACAAGAGGACCCCCCCCCCGCCCCCACCAGCCTGCAGCGCCCCTCACCTGCAGCCAACACTCCGCGCCCTCCAGGCCCCGAGCAGCCCAGCCCCCACTTGTCCCCGCGGACCTGCAGCACCCCCCTCACCTGCAGCTTGCTGCCATCCGCGGTGCTCCACACCCGCACCAGCGTGCCCTTGTCGCTGCACGTCGCCAGCCGCTTGCCATCGGCCGACAGCGCGAGCGCCGCGAGTGCGGTGTTATGGGCGCTGATGAAGCGCGTCTGCTTCCGGTCATAGAGCTCCACGCGCACCTGCATTATACGCAATTGTATGATTGTGATGGCAGGCGGGTGGAGCGAGGATGGATGTGACATTACACCCATCCTCGTCGCCGTCAGCAGGATCGTTGATATCAAATTCGACGCCTTGGGGCGCGCGTCGACGCCCGCGCGAACCTGTGAGACAAGGCGCCTGCTGATTTACGTCGCCCACAGCGGCTGCAGCTGCGACTCAGGTCTGGTGGCGACACACACCCCGCACTTTCCTAAAGGCGTCTCCCAGCCACGGCTTCCAGGACGCACCCCCTGCCCGCGTCGCCGCCCACCTGCCCCGTGTGCAGCCCCGGGCAGGCCAGCACCACCGCGTCCGCCGAGGGCGACAGCGCCACCAGGCCGCGGCTGTTGGCCAGGGTCTCAATCTGGTGCAGCAGCTTCAGATCTAGGGGGGGGGGCAGCGCATTTGAAAGCAGGTGGGTCAGAGGCTTGGCGGCCCAGGCGGTTGCACGTGAGCGTGGAGTAGTTTGCTGTTGGCTGCCAGGCCACGCGTGTTGCCGTCCGCGGCACGGCTGCGTCGCCGCTGCGCTAGCTCCAGCTACCGAGGGATGACTGATGTCCAGTGACAGGGCCCGACACAGCCGCCCGCCGTGGACCAAGCGCCCGTGCTGGCACCCCCAAACTGCGTCCCTCGGCCCTTGGGCGTCCAAGCCAGCGGATCCCCTGCGCCACGATGCAAGGTGCACATGCCAACGATGCAACGCGATCGCTCCGTTTTTGAAGGTGGTGGTTTGCCCCCACCTGCGAAGTTATAGACCAGTACCTTGTGCTCCAGCGCCACCACAATGCGGTCGCGCCGCAGCCGCACGGCGCGCACCTGCGCGCACATGCGCGTGAGGGAGGCCGCGGGGGGAGCAGCGATTGGCGAGGCTTCGGCCGCTTGCAGGGCGCGCGAAGCGCCGGCTGGCTGGGTGGTTGGCGTTGCGGTTGCCCGAGGGCGGGGTCGCCAACTGCTGCGTGCATGCGCGTGGCTGCCCGCCCACAAGAAAGCACAAGACGCACAGCAGGTCTGAGAAAATCACGCATCCAACACACCCCCCAACACACACACACACACACACACACACACACACACACACACAAACACACACACACACACATGCACGCGCGCTCCCCAGACTTGGGCGCTGCTCGCCTGCGTCTTGAAGCTGAGCTCTCCAATGCACTTGCCCTGGTGGTCGTCCCAGATCATGACCTGCAGCCGGGCATTGCGTCAACATCGGCAATGAGCGTTCCGCTGGCGCAGGCTGCTAACCACCACCCATGCGGGCGACCCATTCGCCGCCAATGCAAGCCATACTTGCACAATGCACCTCGCCTGCCGTGCCACCCTCAATCCAGCACGCAACAGCGCGCTGCTGGCGGTTGCAATCGCAGGCGCAACCCCTGCTAAGCGTCTCGCCGACCCACCGCCGCGTGCTGAGGTGCTTCACGTGGTTCCCCTCTTCCATGCGCGCGGCCCGCGGCCCGCCCGCGCACCTTGTTGGGCGGGTACTGCGGCGCGTCCCCGCCGCCAACGATTGCGAGGATGTTACAGCGAAACAGCATCTCAACGATGCCGATGCCGCCATTCCCAAAGCCGCGGCAAAACTGGGCGGCGCGGGGCAGCACGGCGCGGGGCGAGGTGCGAGGGAGGGGCGCGGGGGCGGGCATTGTGAGGCGTCGGCGCGCAGGGGAGGGGCGCATGTGCGGCCATGCCAAGCAAACCGTCGTCATGCACCGAGCACGTGGCACTGGTGCGCCCTCGTTGCAGACTCGCCACGCGCTCGTGCGCACGCACCGTCTCCTTGAAGGGGTCGCTGTTGTACACGCGGAACCCCGAGGTGGTGCCACATGCGAAGCAGCCATAGTCCTGGTTGAAGGACAGGCTCTGCAGGGCCATACTTTTGCCCGTGCCTCGGGGAAGGGGCGCTTCCTGCCAAGCACGTCCAGCACCAGAGAATCCAGGGGCCACACCAACACGCTGTAAGGGATACTGCGGCTCCGTCAGCAGTGTGCGCGGTGTCGCTGATCACGCCCTCGACATCACCCTTCGTCCGCAACTGAAATAACCCGCTTTGAAAACTAATTGTGACCGGTAAGTTACAGTGGCGCTTTCTAAACAATTCAACACACCGTAACAGCTGAAAGCGGCGATCTCGACGCACCAGTCTCTGCTTCGCACTCGTCAACCCTTTCCTGAAGAGCCCCGGACAATCGTGACGCCAGATAGTACTTACATACTGTTGATGCGCCGCTACGCCGCACTTGTGCGGCGGTTGGCGCATGTAGGTGCGTGGGAAGGCAAGCAGCTGCAGCATCAGGACGCGCGCTACGCCGCCGCCGTCACCTTCACGGCGGCGGGCGCCGCGGCCGCCGCCCGCGCCTCCGCATGGACCAAACCATGCGTACGGCGCGCCTACAGCTTCGCGGCCGCGGCACCGCTGGCGCGCGGATTTGCGCAGCTGCGGTACCTGCTGGGCCTCGGCGGCGTTGTGGTGGCGGCACAATTCGACGACGTCACCGATACTGTCAAGCTCGGAGCGCTGGCGGCGGTGCGGTTAGGGCGTGACGTGGCGACCGCGGCGGCGATAGTGGCGGGTACGAGGGGGCGGGTCCCTGGGCTCCCGCAGATGTATCTTGATCTCGGCGGTTGCCGCATGCAGCAAACGAGCAATTGCGGCCGCCAGCGCGCGGCGGTCGTATTTGCCTGGTTTCCGTATCCCACTTTTCCGCATCTCAGCCATCGTCCACGGGCAGCCCTACCTTACACCGCAGCCTGCCACCAGCTATGTAAACCCATTTTGCCTCCATATTCCACTTTTCACACTCAAAACCACCACCCAATTGCTACCCAAACAGACTACAAGACCTCACTCGCGGCCGCGCCACCCCCTGGCCCAGCGCGCCAGGAGGTGCTCTCCGCCTGCCACCAGCGCGGCGCGGAGCGGCTGCTTGCGCTGTGCTTCAAAAATGGCGGCATATACACTAAGCTTGGTAGGCGTGCGGCGGGCTCGGTCGTTCCGCCACCTGCCAGGCAGCGGCACGGCGCGGGGGTGCAGCTGCTGCCCTATCAGCCACACTCTCTGAACGCTCGATCCCCCTTCAGGCTGGTGCAGTGGCGTCAAGCGCGCCCCTGGCCCGGCCGCGGCAGCCCGCCCACAGCTGTCACAGCTTGCTGTCTCAACAGGCTGTCGCCGTTTAATCAGGCCCGGCGCCTCCCCAGGCCCCGCAACGCAATCACGAGCCCAACCCCCGCCCCCCCTCCCCCCAGGCCAGCACATCGGCCAGCTAGACCATCTGCTGCCGTCTGAGTATGTCGACACGATGCGCGCCAACCTGCTGGACAGGTGCCCCGTCAGCGATTACGAAGAGGTGCGCGGGGCAGCCGAATGTGCGCCCAAATTCAGGATTGTTGCATGGCGAATGTGTGGGCGGTGTGTGCGTGCATAGATCGTGTGTGCATGCGTGCCTTTGTTGCAAGTTTGTGTATGTGTGTGTGTGTGTGTGTGTGTGTGTGTGTGTGTGTGTGTGTGTGTGTGTGTGTGTGTGGTTGTGTGCGCGTGTGACTGCATGCTGTCCATGTGTACGTCTCCTGCTGTTTCTTGCGAATGACATGATCGAGGTTTCTACTCATGCTGCGTCTTAAGAAGCAAAAATGCTGCCCAGGCCCCCAAGCGCCTAGCGCGCCTCACATGCCCGGCAACACGCAGGCTCAACCCTCAGTGCGCCCTGCAGCCGCCTCACCACTCAACTCGCCCCATGCCCGCCAGCAAGCTCTTGTGCACATCCCGTCAGCCACCGAGCCCGCCCTCGCACTCCCCCCTGTCCCCCCCCCCAGGTGTCCGCCATCATAAAGGAGGACCTGGGGGCCACCCCAGAGCAGCTCTTCGTGTCGTTTGAGCGGCAACCGATCGCCAGCGCATCCCTCGCGCAGGCGCGTCCAGCCGCGACTCGCGACGCCGCCCGACCTCTCCTCCCCCATCCTCTTTCCCATACTACATGCCCTCTCGGGCGCTTTGCACGGACACTGCCCCCTGTTTGACCTTTGTCCGTCTACGTTAACCTCCTGAGAGCCAGCCATACCCCGCCATCACCCACGGTGGATGGATCGTCCCCACGAAATTGCCCCCGTACGGCCTCCTCTGCTGCCGCAGGTGCACGTTGCTGTTGGCAAGGACGGCTCCAAGCTGGCCGTGAAGGTGCAGCACGCCGGGCTCAGGGAGAGCTGCGCCGCCGACATACACACCATTGAGATGCTGGTCAGGGCGGCCAGGTGCGGGCGGCGCAGGCCCCCACTCTTGTGGGAGGGGGCTGCATGCTGCCTCGCTGGTTGATCAACCCCTGTATCTGCTTGCGCTGACGGGCAGTTGTGCTGTGGCAAGGGATTGCCCCTGCCTAGGAAAGGCACCCCCATGCAGCAGTCAAGCTGCCAGACCGCACTGAACGACGAGGTGTTTGGGAGTTTTGGGCGCCCACGACGTGCCACAAGAGTGGCTGGCACTGCCGGGGGCACACGGCTGGCAGAGTGATCCCCCGCTCTCCTGAGCCGAAGCCGCCCGCTCAATGCGCTCCAACCCTGCATCGTTGACCTCCCCGGCCCGTCGTTTACAATCGTCCCCCAGGGTGATGTTCCCGGACTTCAACTACCAATGGCTGGTGGAGGAGGTCAAGGAGAACCTGCCGAGGTGGGCGCTCGGGGTTTTGACACTGAGCGGTTTGCAGGGCCTTCTGCGCGGCCGGATAATCGGCCGACTGGGTGGGGCACGCCTGCACGGCAGGCGTGTCGACGGCGTCGTCGGTGGCACCAGATCCAGCCGATATGTCCCTCCGCCGCCCTCGGCCGCCGCCGTCGCCTCATAACGCAGAGGGCCCTTGGCCGGAAGCCCGCACCAACCGCCGAACCTGCCCCTTTGATCCCTGCACCTGATCCCTCAACCTGACCCCTCATCCTCATCAACCTGATCTCTCAACCTCATCAACCTCACCCCCCAACCCCCCCCCAAGGGAGCTGGACTTCCTGCACGAGGCGTCCAACGCAGAGCGCTGCAGGGCAAACTTCGCGTCCCCCAAGTCGCGGCTGGCCGGCAGGTGCGCGCGCGCGGCGCCCGGCATAGATCGCAATCACTCAAGTTCGGCCCTTGACCCCGATTGAGATTTCACGGCCGCACCCGCCCCCAGCCAGCGCCCCGGGCGGGCGTTTTTCAGGCTGGTGCCGCACCCACATTCTGATTGAGGGCGTGCCGGGCAGGCCTGGGTGCGCATCACACTTTGAGTAGCCAGCTCGGCAGCCGACAAGTAGAAAGGCCCTATTCCGCATCACCTTCGTCCAAGCCCCTTCAGCCGCACGCAAAGCACACTGCCCTCACCACCTGCCTACCACAACACACACCCACACCCACACACCCACACGCACTCACACAAACACACACACACACACACATGCACACACGCTCACACGCCAACCTTGCCCGCTCCCAAAGGGTGCACATCCCGGAGCTCTACCCGGCCCTCTCCAGCAGCCGCGTCCTCACCATGGAGTACATCGACGGCGCCCGCGTCACAGACGGCGCCGCGCTCGACCGGCTGGGCGTCAGCCGGCCCGCGCTGGCCGCGCTGGTGGCCGAGGCGTTCAATGAGATGGTGTTCATCCACGGGGACGTGCACTGCGACCCCCACGCGGCAAACATGGTGCGCGCGCCCCGTCGCGCCGTGACGGCGCGAGTGTGGCGAAACGCTGAATGAGACGCAGGCAAGGGGTTGGTCGGCGCAGGTTGGCGCAGCACCCGAACACAAATGATCACCGATACCCTTGCTTTCCTGGCGCGCCCCCCCCCCTCCTCCCCAATTCCCTGTGAACAATCACGTCTTCAAGATATTGGCTTGCCCCCTGCTTGGCCTGCATCTTCTCACCCGCGTCCCAATGACTCAAACCCCGCACCCCCAACGCGCCCGGCAAACCCACCTCCGCCGCCAGCTGGTGCGCAAGGTGGGCAGTCGCCAGCAGCTCGTACTGCTTGACCACGGGCTGTACCGCGTGATTGATGACGAGTTCAGGGCGCGCTACGCGGCGCTGTGGCGCGCCCTCGTGTTTGCCGACGCGGCGGGCATCAAGGAGCACGCGGCGGCGATGAACGCGGGGGAGCTGTACCCGCTGTTCGCGGCGATGCTGACTCAGCGGCCGTGGGAGCAGGTGCGGGGCGTGTGCGGTGGCGTCATCTGCGCCCGCTCGCGCTCGTGTGTTTGCAGTTGCATCGAGCATGACAGGAACCATGTGCGCTCAGGGTCTCATCCTGATGCTGGCTGCGAAAGTGGTTGTTTCATCCTGCAGGCCGCTGTCCATGCCAGCGCGCCTCTCTGCCGCCGCGCTCTGCTGAAATGCTATGCCGCTCAAAATGCTCGTGCTGCTCTCGGTTCTATCTGCAACACACACACACACACACACACACACATATACACACACACACACACACACACACACACACATATACACACACACACACACATCCACACACACACACAC